TTCTTGAGTCTAACCCAAGACAACACGCTCGTGAAATGGCCCTGAAATTGCATTTCTCTCATGAAACAATACGTAAGCATCTAAGGGATATGGGAAAACTATAATCATCGTTTCCAACGTGTGAACGTTGCGTCGTCTCTTCTGGCGCGTAGTGCGCTTGAACCATTTTTGGACAGAATTGTCACCGGTGATGAAAAATGGATTCTCTATGCGAATATTAAACGCCAAAAACAATGGCTTAGTCCCAAACAAAAAACACTTCCGACCATAAAACCTGAACTCCATCCGCAGAAAGTGATGCTTTGCTTTTGATGAAACATCAAAGGAGTAATTCATTTCGAACTCCTCAACCCACAGCGAACTGTCAATGCAGAGATCTATAGTCAGCAACTGGAACGTATAAATCAAGCCCTTCACTCGTCAATCGGAAAGGTGTTCTTCTTCTTCTCCACGACAATGCACGTCCACATGTGCACATATATATATATATTATGGAGTTGGGAAGTTCTCCCCCACCCACCATATTCTCCAGATATGGCACTATCAGATTACTATCTTTTTTCGTTCGCTGCAACACCATCTTAATGGGAAAACGTATGCAAATGTGGAAGGTGTTAAGGAGGGCATCGACATGTTTTTTGGTTCAAAGGCAAGTGATTTCTTTAATCAGGGCATTAACAACATGATTGTAAGATGGAAAAACATCATCGATAAGAATGGAGACTATTTCATTTAATAAATGTTTTGTTTTGATGTATAAGTTGTTCGGGTTTTTCTATCTAAAAAAGAGCGACATTAATTTCTTGACGACATAATATGTCCGGAATTATATCTCGGACTCGAACTTTGGAGAATGCGATCCGCAGCCCGGCACGCTAAATATTAGCTTACGCCTGTCTTAATTCAAAAAATAGTAATATTGCCATAAAAAATATATCAACCTAACCAATTAATTCAAGAATCGATAATATCTACTTATTCAACAAAATATAGAAACAGTGACATCGATCTAAACAACTATCTTAAGAAACAGCTACATTTGTCTTGTCTGCTACTTCAAAGAACGTAATATAAGTATGACAAATAAATCAAGAAATCATAATATAAACTAATCAATTAGCTAAAGAGAAGTTAACATAAACTTAGACAACTAACTTAAAAACAGAAATATTAACCTAGTTTAGTTACAAGTTCAGAAAACGGCAATAACAACCCTAAGAATCACTTAAGAAACAAAAATATCAACTGTATTAATTAAGTCAATACATTTTATTCAAAGTCTCGAACTGACTCAAGAAATATTAATACCAACTTAACTGTCTATATCATGAAACTTTAATGATAGCTATACGGCTACGAAAACAGCAAAATCAACGCAGTTGACCAAACTTAAGAA